AGGGGTGTAGAATTCTTGGTTGACAGTTTTTTCTTCCAGCACTTTAAATGTCTTTCACTGCCTTCTGGCCTCGGTGGCACCCCAAAATGTATGAAGCAAAAATTGATAGAGTTGAAGGAGAAATAGACAGTTGCACAGTAATAGTTGGAGACTTCAATTCCCCATTTTCAGTAATGGATAGAAAAACCAGACAGAAGATCAGTAAGAAAACGAGGACTTAAACAACACTATAAAGAATAGATTATTGAGCATCTTATGTAAGAGCTTCCACAGTAAAGAACAGACAACTGCTAATGAAGATTCAAGCCTAACATAAATGTCTTGGGCTGTATTGGTACGAAATGTGGGAAAAGATATCCTCCAAGGATGGTAAACAATTAACATGTCAGAAATGGAAAATTTCCATGTAAATAACTCCTCCAATATACAGATTTGATGAAGAAAAATCTGTTACGAAGAGAAATGGGAAAGTGAGAAAAGAGAGCAGACACAGACATACTGTGCCCACCGCTTTATGTGTCCTCATGAAAATTAGGAGTTTCCTATTGTCTTAGAAGAGTTAACACCACCAGAGTTCTCTAGAGAAGCAAAACCAATGAAGTGCATATATATAGAGAGAGAGATTTATCTCAAGGAAATGGCTCATGCAGTTGTAGAGGCTGGCAAGTCCCAAGTCCGTGGGTCAGGCTAGAGGCTTCTTCTGACTCATGTACCTGCAGGCAATATGGCAGGCTACTGGCCCAAGCCCCAAGAACTGGAGGTCAGATGATGATGAGCTGGACGCAGGATCCAGAGCAAGCAAGCAAACTTTGCCAGAACATCCATATATATATTGGATGTAGGCCACACCCCTGAAGAAACTTCTCTTACAACTGATTGATCACATCAGATCACATCATGGAGGATGACTACATCATTACATAATTACCAAACCACTGAGATTCACGACCTGGCCAAGTTGACACACAACCTTAACCATCATTCCTATGTTTGGAAAATGACTTAAAGATAACAGCTGCCTAGAAAATTAAAAATAAAAGTATGTGTGTCCTGAGATAATCTTTAAACCTTAAACCAAAAATACCCCCTGAAATCTTCTTAAAACCAAACAGTAGTTTAGCTTAACTAGTTAAAATGTCTGTCTTGAGCATTATGCTCTACTAAGAACTATATGGGATCAAAGTGACAATAGCAACTGGAAAGATTAGATAGGAACCTTAGGGGGTAGTGAGTTTATGTTAATGGGGGGAACAACTCAGAAAAGGAAGGTGGGAATGGTTGCATAACTTAAAGAATGTAATCAGTGTCACTGAATTGTACATGTAGAAACAGTTTAATTGGTATATGTTTTGCTGCGTGTAGTCTCAACAACAAAATAAAAAGACATGGATTAAAAAAACACATTAACAAAAAGAAAGAATATTAACCATTGAGCAGCTAAAGTCAGTACCTGGGATAGGACTGCTCAGTGGAGTTATTTATTACCAGCATCATCACAAAGATAGATTATTCAATAAATAAAATTAGGATACAATGCCTGGTGTGAGGGTAGGATGTAAAGAAAAAAGCCCAAAATGATACTTAGGTTTTCAACTAGTCAAGTTGTTGGCACTCTTGTCTTTTCCCCAGTCTTCAAACTTTCTGTAATATGGTATTTCTTTGATAGTTACAAATATTTTTAATCTTGAAACATTAAGATAAAGGTTAATATCATAGTCTATTTTCTTAAAAATAATTTGAAGTAAGCATAAAAATATATCAGATTTAACAAAAGATTTTGAGCATAACTGTTCTATCTCCTTTGGAGATTTTTAACATATCTATGTTTCAGGTTCTTTTCCCCCTTTGGTCTCTTTGTATACCTTTTAGGTAATTATATTAACTCTTAATTTTTTTTTTTTTTTTTTTTTGAAACTTGCTGTTTTTGTCTCTTAAGCTGGCATTTCATAAAGATTATTCTCCTACAAAGGGGGAGGCAGTGTGGTGCTGAGGAAAAGCCTGGGGCGTGAATTGCTTTACAGCTCTGACCCTTGGCTTCTTTATCTTCCGATGAGAACCTGTGACTTTTACTTACTGTTATTTCTTGTCTTGGGCTACATAATTTCTGAGAGTTTTTTTCCAGGCCCAAAAACTGTTCTGTGATTTTTACTTCTAATGAATCTTTTCTTTTTGGATTATCAAAGGCTAAAAATGCAAGTTAGAATTTCTTTTAATATGAAAACTAGAAATTTCTGGAAACATACTACCTACCTAAACTAACACAGAGGTAGAACAACTAAATAAACATATAACAAAAGAAGAGATTGAAAAGGTAGTTTAAAAACTCCCAACAACAAAAAAAAAGAGCCTCAGCCCTGATGGTTTCACTGGAGAATTCTACCAAACTTTCGGAGAAGAGTTAACACCACTACTACTAAAGGTGAAAACTAAGAAATACATATGTGATTTGTATACTACTGTTGTAGGCACCATTTTATTAAGGGACTTTTTGTTTATGTCCCTCCCCTCTTTGGCCTGAAATAATTTAGTTACCCATAGATCGCTCATTAGTTGAATTTTGCATTAAGACTTCACTGTGGAATCCAGGAGGCATCAGTTATTCTTCAGTTCTTTTCAAAATTATTTACAAAGCTAGTTCAGCATTCAATTTATATTTTGGCACATAGGTAACTTTAAGATGGTGATCTCCTCTTCAGTACATGCTTCTGAGTATTACCAGGCAAGTATGTTTTCTTTGCCTACCTGAACTGAATTAGAAAAATTCAGAATGAGATGAATAATCCTGAATATTTATTGCTATCAATGAAGGACTTTTTTTTCCCTTCTGAGTTAGAGTGCACGTTAAAGTGATTTGTTTAATTTCAGTAATTTGCCGATCTGATTTGTAATGTTTGTGAAAATATCGATCACTAATTCTAAATATAAGGTTAAAAAATTCAGTATTAATTGTGGGTAACCCAGGGGGCAATAGCAAGAGATCCTTCCGTCCCCCAACAGGAAATGGAAAGCTTGGGTCACCCTCTTGGTGTTGAGTGCATGGTGAATGAGAGCAGTGGTGTACAAAGTGACCTTATGGAGACTGGCTTCGTCACTCACACAGCAGCCTGCCCTTGCTCTCATTTCCACACACCACTTTGAGATGTTCTAACTCGGTTCCTATGAAGTTTGCCCCCAAGAAGAGAGTGTGCTGGCCAAGCCACTCGAGCATCTCGTCCCCTGAGAGTTATGTCTCTCACTGTAGATATTAGCAGATTGGTATTCTCATTTGTATGTCTCCATCTCTTTTAAATGAGTTAGAGTGAATCATCTTCCCAAGTCCTGTCAACTCCAGGACACCGATGAGGTTTAGGCTTCACTCCAGAGCCTGAGCACTGTTGATAGTATTCACTGGAAAATCTATGGTGTGAAGTCTTAAGAGACTCCAGCCGTGCTTCTCATGACCTCCCCAAGTCATCATCCTGGCGACCTCCTGGTGTCACTTGGAGCCCGCCCTCCTCCTGGCAACCTTCTCACGTCACTTAGAGC